ACCTAATTTTTATATTATTTCATTAAAAAAAAGAAAGAGAAAAAAGAGAATTTTTCAGACGTGCTCCAGTCGAGGATCGAACCTTGGAACTCTGGATTATGGTCCCCTTGGGATTGTTAAACTGCGACGTGGAAAAAAAAATAAAGTCGCTGCATTTTATAACCTTGCCGCATGCCTTGGRATTAATACTCGAAGAAAAAAATCCATATTTACGCGCGCTAATGTAATGCTGTCAATCAAGAAACTCAAAATTTATATCTCTTATATCTATAAGGCAAGAAATTGGACACTGATTTTGTACGAAGTATCCATGGTAACGTGTTCAGTTTCACATGTAAAAGATATAACTTTTTCGCGTTAGAAATAATAACAAAAAATTATAATGTTCTTACATAGCTTTATTTTCCATGGAATCATTGCCTTAAGTTATCACAATATCATCAATTCAACATTAACATGTCAAGTTAGGCACTGTTTTAGCAGGCTATACTGATAGTACTGTCAATCGTTATATCTGCAAAATTTCCTTTAGACCAGTTCCACTGCTAACCTCAACTGCTTTGACAAATTTCAATGTTCATGGTGATGGGTAGATTAAATGTTGGAAGCCAAAATCAAATAATATTTTTTGTTCGAAGCCTTCTATTGTCGCTCTAACGTCATAAAGAAAACTAATCATGTAGAAATAAACGGCTGGTAAGTTCACAGARGTAAGCGAAACGTTGTTTTTGTTATTATGCTAATATAAGGTTTGTTTCCAAGGCCGACATGAAGCACTCTGTTGACAACGTAACCAGGCGAATCATGATTGGTTAGCCCCGTGTCAATCAGATGACAAAATAGATACTCATTTACGCCCACTTGCTGAAGTTCTATATCTAAGGCATCGAATGGTTTCTAAGGTTTGAAGACTGGTTCAGAATTCGATCTAAATAACACCAATTATGGCTTTGAAAAACCAGATATGTAKCGGTGTAGAAGCAATGATGAAAAGGAAGCCCATCAGTGAACTTCGYCTTCAAGATCCTGAGATATGGGACAAGGTAGCTTGGTAAGTTGCGAAGGGCATCCAGGCTCATTGCGCCACAATGGCTATCGTCTAAAAGTSTACCTTGAAGCAAATTTTAGTCCATTTTTACTTGTTATTTCAGTAAAATCATAGTTTTGGCGCCACTTTCCGTCAACTTCGATTGATTTTGCTAAAAAGGAGTACATTACAGTCAAATAAGCAAGTTTAGGGTAAATTTTGTACTAATTTAACATAAGCTTAAGCTCGTATAATAAACTTGAGCTTATACTATATTGATTAAAATCTGAGTCCAAAAATGTTTCGATAAAATAATCTTGACCTTCTACAATGACTACTACTTAAAATTGTATATAGCACGACAAGGCATTATTACCATTTGATGAATATTCAAAGCCGTTAAGTTGGTCGCATGGCAACGATCAACCACCAGTGTCATTCTTGTCTTTCTTGGTTTGAACAGATCTTTACAATTTATTATTGTGTTAAGTTTATTTTAAATCATTTTACTTGCACATTTTGTTTATTTTATTTGTTATCACTTGAAATAAACATTAACTTACTATTTTAATTTTCTCACAAATAGTTCTTTTGTATTGTTAACGTTTTAATGTGAAATCAATATGAAATTCATTCGTGAATTTTTTCATCCTGGTTTCTTGTATGCCATCTATTAATAAGTTATTTCTCATATACACATTCCTGAAAATATTCTGCCTGGTCATTGCCTGTAGAGAGGATTGGAGGCCATGAATGTTTAGTACAGACAGTATTAAGACTGACACCTTTCAGTCTTTTTGTAATGAGCACTGTGCTGGTGATATACTTCAATAATTCATGAGTTTGGTTGTATTGGAAAATGAATAAACCCCACAAACAGCTGCCGAATTCAGCTTTCATGTTTAAACAATTTATTTGTTGTCACTGCAATCAACTATAAAAGAACTCACATAAACTATTTATTGGTAAATGTCTATAGAATTAGAAGTGTGTAATATTTTGGGATATTGTTTGGATTTCAAGTAGGTGATTTCATACCTCATCCTTGGAAACTCAGGGGTAATCTTCTGCTGCTCATTTTACCACTGTGTTCCCAAGGATTGTTAAAATTTTTTGAAGTACTTTTAGCCTCCATTAAGMAATTTATTCTTAATTTTCTTATTTCAGTCATCCATTTATCACGGGGAGGGATATTTTTTCTTGGAGTATTTGTGAAATAAAGATTATATATAGTTTAAAACACGAGACAGTGTGTTTTGTATAGTTTAAAACACAAGAGAGAGTGTTTTGTATAGTTTAAAACACGAGAGAGAGTGTTTTATCAGATATAAAGATTCGAGCCGAAGGAAACAGCTTCAAAAACTCCAACGCTAATTTGAAACTCAAATCCGTTAAAATTCTTGGAGAACAAATTCATTCTGAGATAAATAGGGCAAACTGATCATGCGCAAATCACTTTACAAATCACTCTTGTCATCCCACATTGAATGCACATGAAGTAAAATAGAACTGCTCTTGGCTGTTCACTGCAATCGGTTGACATCATGCATTGGTCAATGATCAGGTCATGGACATTTATATCTGATAAAGGTCATCCTTATTAGTATTCTTTATATAAAGAATACTAATGAGGAGTGTTTTATCAGATATAAAGGTCCATGCATGTGACCAAATAGGCCCATTCTATTGGACTAATAACTCATTAATTATGTATGAGTTTTTGAAATCAAGTATAAAAATTTGAGCCGAAGGCGAGAATCTTTATACTTGATAAAACACTCTCTCGAGTATTTTAAATGGCTTAAAAAACTCCAACACTAATTTGAAACTCAAATCCCTTAAAATTCTTAGAGAAATTGCCGTAAAAATAAGTTTTGAAATAAATGGGGCAAACTGATCATGCGCAAATCACTTTACAAAGCACTCTTGTCATCCCACATTGAATACGCATAAAGTAAAATAGAAGTGCTGATGGCTGTTTTACTGCAAT